TAACCTGCCCACTCTGTCATAAAGATGGTCGTGTCACCTGCTCCCTCTGATGTGCAGATTGTCGTCCCCCCCCCCCCCCCCCCCCGGCGCCCTATCCCTCCCATCTGCGGCGCGGGAGCCAGCCCCAGAGTCCACGCCGACAGCCCGCCGCAGCTTCCCGGGTCTCCGGCCACAGCAGCGCGGACTGGAACCCAGGCGCACGCCCAGGGTCTGGCTCCCCACGCCGGTGGCGCAGCCCGGGGGACCCCTCCCACCGACCCTGCCCGACATCTCCGCGGGTCTCAGGCCCCGCGCCCCATCCTGCCGCGGTCCCCGCTCCCTCCGGACGCCCCTCTGCCCAGTTCTCAGCCGCAGCGCCCGCCCACCCGCCGGCGCCGGCCGGGGGCCCCCTCCAAAGTATCCGATCGCCGGAGTCCCGCCGGGTCCCCGCAGCGGGACGCCCAGGTCAGCAAGCCGGGCTCCGCGCCAGCCCGGCAAACTTTACAAACCTGCCCGGGGTCGCCGGACCCGGCGGGGGATCCCGCACCCGGAGCCGGGGGCCCGCGACCCTGCACCTGGGGCGGACGTTGTGTCGCCCAGCTCCGGGCCGCAGCCGGTGGGTGGTCTGCCTCTATCTGGTGCCCATCCTCGCCCTCCCGCGGCCCGAACGCACGCACTTACACTCGGGTCGCCGGCCGCCGCGCCGCCGGCTGCCGCTGCTCTCACTTCCTCTTCCTTCCTCCTGCTGGCCGAAGACTCATCTTGCATCTGCAAGGCATCCCGCGAGCAGCCGCGAACTCTCCTCCCGGGCGACGCTGCGGAGTTGCGGCCGCCGCCCCCGGCACCTGCACGCGGACACGCGTGGTTGGCGCGTTTGCCTCCCGCCCGCGCGCTGCTGCCTGGCGGCTGCACTGTGCCTAAGACCCGGTGCCCGTGACTTTTTGAAGTCCCCCTACTTAAAAAGAAGGAAATGTCACACACCATGCCTCCTCAGCTCTGCTATAAATAATGTGTGTGCGGAGCATGATTTCTCGGATGAGCTCACACACCGCGTTTTGCAGGCACTAATTACCTCCGTCACCCTCATAGCGCCCCCTCCGGGGGGGCCAGAGCTCATGGTACCTATTTATATGCTTTCATTTTTGACAGCAGGTTCGGGATTTCAAGAAGAAACTTCGGTGGGCTGTTTTACAGCAACTACTTCAAGAGGCCGTTGTGTTTATCTTGACACTGTACCTTTGCCCATGGGTAGGACAGCAAAAATAGCAGAACGTTTCCTCCTCCTCCATCACCTACGTATTTACTGTAATTGAAACTACAAGATTTCTCTCAATGAAGCCAAGGGCTGCATAATTTCTCCTAGTTTTGCATAAAGCAACATGTTCTATCCCGAATGTGGTGGATGCGATAATTTATGGAATTCATGAAATCTACATCAGTTTGTGTCGAGGCAGAATTCAAAGGCAGTTAACCCCCAGACCAGCTGGCAAAGGGAAATGACAGTTGGAAGTTTCAGTAGACACGCCTGCACCTGGAAAGGGCAGGTGGTTGCTGTGTATGCCCTCCTCTCTGGAAAAGAAGACACGTCAGAGTAGGAGGTAGATCAGAATCTAAGACCAAGGCAAAGCCTCCTTTAAGATTAATAATATTTACATTTTAAGCTTGTGTTGACTATCCATTAACAGCTGACACAGATTTAGCATGAAAAATGAAAAATAAAATGGCTTCAACATTCCCATATTGATTACATCACTTCAATAAATGATAATGCTAGAGTTCTCATGTAATAATTTAGTTGGGTAGTATATTAGGTTAAGATATATATAATATATATTTATATAATTAAAACTAATTTCACCAGTTTCTTTTCCCACATTTTAGTATGGCCACTTGAAAATGTAAGATTACCCATATGACTCTCATTAGTGGCTCACATTATGTTTTTAATGAACAGTCCTCATCTTAACCTTTATTATAGACAGTATAAGAAGCAGGAATAATTGGGCACAGGTGGTTTTAAGCTAGTAGCTTAGAGCAGGGCGATTCCAGGAAAGTAACTGAACTTCTCTAATTCCATCTATAAAACAGTAATTGTATATAATATGTGTTTATTTAGTAAGCACTCAATAAGTAGAGACTTTTCTACAGATGCAGTGGCATGTTTGTAGCGTTAGTGGTGAGTTTGATCTACAATGTCTGACTAAGGCTTACAGAGACTTTAGTTTGCTGCAGGCATTGTGAGCACTAAGTGTGTGTAAGATGTCACAACTGTCCTGAGTACCAGCACCAGCAATTAGATAGACGCACTGCCCTGTAACCCATGGCTCCAGCTCTCCTTCTGCAGTCAATAAAGGGTAAGTCCTGTACTTCCTCTACCAGACAATGTTTCACATCTTTGACAATAGCCTCCAAATTCTACATGAATGTTTTCAGTGTTAAACATTCTCTGACTTGTCTTCATGAGATGTGGTTTCAAGCCTCTTTCACCTAATTAGCCCTTAACAAACACAATTCAGCCTGAGTTTTTTGTTTTGTTTTGTTTTTTGTTTTGTTTTGTTTTGTTTTTTCCCTTTCCCCAGATTCATCTCACTGTTGATCTAACCACCAGGGGAGACTGGAAATTCTTTGCTGTGCTACTGTTAGCAAATCCATTCCTATGGAGTCTGATCTTCGGCCCAAAGCCCCTGTTATACCTTCCTTAAATCACTTTTGATTCCATTCAGGCCTCCTGTGTCTCCCTGTATCTGCAGATCCGGTAATGCTACAATGCTATAAATCTGGTTAATCACCCACTAAGAGGGTTCCTGGAGTGCCCTGTACTCTGATGAGGAGCAGCATTCCTGGATTTCTGGTCATGTAGTTGTTAATAACTCTCTTACTCATGAAAACTCCAAACCTCATTTTTCTACTTCATTCCTAAGGACTTCTTGGAGGGATTGTCAAGTGTACTAGAGGAATACACTAGTGCCTGGTAGAGTGAACCAGTAGTGTGATGTCATCATAGACAAAGGGCTTGCTTAATCTCTGGACCTGGCTATTGGGTGTACATCTCAGGATTGCCATTTACTGTGTTTCTTTATGAAAATCATTCTGCTTATGAGATGAAAACCACTTTTAGCTGGTACAACTGCACAAAGACAAAATGAGTTAATTTATATAAAGGTTTTAGGAAGGGGCCTAGCACATAAAATCGTTCTTTATGTGCCCTTGCTATTGGTAATGCTTACAATAATCAGTTAATAGCTAATGGACTTGTCACATCAACAGATTCCAACAGAAGTAGCACCTTCCTCTTTCCACATGGTAGCTTCTGCCCAGAACGGAGGGGAAACAGCATGTCTTGTGCTCTTACAAGAGAGCTATGCATTATTGGTGGATGGAGATATGTTTAGAAGAGTTTCTCACACTTAAGTACCTCCTCCCATTGTTACCCAAGTCTATGCGGTTCCTTATGTATTCAGAACCCAAAGGTAGGAGGGTGAATTGGAGCTTATCAAATGTCTCTATGAAACTCCTAAATGTAAAAGCGGCCTCATATTTTTAATCAATAATGACTCATGTTGATCAACTCCATTCTTGCCAAGTATTCATATATTAATTTATAACCCATTAAATAAAAACACTTACTGGGCTCCAAATGAGTCCTGTGTACTTACTGATACATTTTGTTTTGTGCTTTAGAAATGAGCCCCAAATCAGTCATCAGGTTCCTTGATCTATAGCTGGGAGACATGTTCCCTTTTCCTGTGTTGCAATCAGTCTGCAGTTTGTATGTCTCTAGTCTCCAACAGTTTTAGAGCAGAGGGTATGGTCACAGTTCCAGGAAACCACCAAACTAGGGAAAATGAGGTCTGGACAGCAGGCAGATACCTGAAATTCAAAGTCACTAGGCTCATCTCTGGCCAAGCAGAGAGGCAGGGAAGTCTGCAATGAAAGGGAATTCCTTCACTCTTTCATTAATTTGATATGCACAGAATAACTTAAAATGAGATTAAATGGGAATAAGGGAGACTCCTGTAGACAAACAGAAACACTGTGTGCACCCTCCTGATACTTCCATTCTACCTAAGACACATTGTGTATGAATACAATATGAACCATAGGGGAAACTTCTAAGTCCCAAAGTCTCTTTATTTGAAGGTCTGCAGAAATTATAATGCATCTGAAATGTAGAGTATCACAATTACATTAATGAGAGCAGTGGACAAAAGTCAAAATTCTAAAGCCACTGAGGATCATTTTATAGAGTCTAGGAACACAAAAGATAATAGAAAGGCACTGAAAGTTTTTCATGTTTGCTTCACTTGGCCTTCCACTGAGATGCTGTAAGCAAGGATTGTCAGGGTCAGCTTTGTTCTAAAGACTATCCCAGGGACAACCAAGGGAGGCAACATGTTTTGAGAGGAATCGTCTCTTATTCTGCTCAGGATGCCATAACAGAATCCCATAGACTAGACGATTTAAATAAGAGGTATTTGTTTTCTCACAGTTCAGGAGATGAGGGAGAGCAATCACATAACTCCATTCAACTCTTCTCACATCCCAAAGACCCTATCTCTAATATCATCGCATTTGGGGTTAGAATTTCCGCGTGTAAATTTGGGAGGAGAACATAAACATTCAACGCACAACTTCTAAAACTTTATTGCAGTCAGGTAAGGCTAGAGAAGATAGGAACCTCCACTGTGCATTACATGAGGAACAGAGGAAACTGGAGGACACTGATGATAGTACTGATAGTATCCTGGTTGGAGAGACTCACAAACAAGCTATTATCTTTCTGCATCGGGCCAACTAAACACAGAATTTAGTTGGCCTTCCTGTGGCTTATGATTCAACATTACTACAGCTACAATTATCTCATGTCAAGAGCAGGCACAAAAAAGTGGAATAGTCCTGCTTGGCTATTTGACGCCTGCTGGTATTGGCCACACCCTTACCCTGAACTGATTACTCACATGCCCCAAGTTTCAGTCACTTTATTTTTATGCATTTGCTAAAGACATTTACCCCAAACTTATTCCAAGCACTAGCCCCATCCCCTCCTTTGTTCCAGTCATCCCACTCTACTCTTAAACAAAATACATTTCTATGGACTCACAACTTACCTGTTAATGAAACGTGCTCTCCTGTTTGAAGTTTTGCTTGATAGATTCATCAAGCCTTTTTATATGTCTGCCCACTGTCTACCACCCATTTTCTGTAGATCAATTAAAAGACAACAACAACAAAATTAATACTGGTCAGTGTATTAGTTACTTAAGGAAAATGAGTTTATTTGGGATTATGGTTCCAGAGGGAGAGTCCATAATGGTAGGGAAAGTATGAAACAGGTAACTAGAGAGAGAAAGAGAGAGGAGAGAAGAGAGAGAGGAGAGAGAGGGAGAGAGAGGAGAGAGAGGGAGAGGGAGAGGGAGAGGGAGAGAAAGAGAGGAGAGAGGAGAGAGAGAGAGAGGAGAGAGAGGGAGAGAAAGAGAGAGAGAGGGAGAGGGAGAGAAAGAGAGAGGAGAGGGGAGAGAGAGAGAGAGGAGAGAGAGGGAGAGAAAGGGAGAGAGAGAGAAAGTGGAAGTAGGGAAGTATATAAACTCTCAAAGCCTGCCTCCAGTGATGTACTTTCTCCACAAGTCTCCATGCCCTAAAAGTTCTGTAGTTTTCCAAAACAGCACCACCAACTGGAGACCAAATGTTCAAATATACAAAGGACAGTTTCCATTCAAACCACCACATTCAGTAACTCAAGAAGTGCTTCTAACTTCACAATAAATACTGGCAAAAGGATTAGCATGCCCATCTCATTCAGGCAAAATTTGAAGAATGTTTAAATATTCATGCTTTGGAGTTTACAGATAGATATTCCAGGTGTAAGCCTTAAAGCCACATGTACTTTGACAAATTATTGTGTTTTGCTCTAAAATTCTAAAGTATGTTGGGATAATGATACTTCTTTCAAACAATGCCCAGCACACACTAACTACTCAAGAAATGGAGCCAAA